TCCGGAGCAGGTTCCAGGTAAGAGATCATCTTAGTGAAAGCACCGCCTGCTGACCAATCAGAGCTCACCACCTGCTGACCAATCAGAGCTCAGCGTGTGGAGTTTAAAGCTATCAAGTCATATTACAGGTTAAAGGAAATACAGTTTAAACTGTCGTATGCAGGGAAGACGCCGACGTGTCACATGCAAAAGACATTAAGTTGACGCAACATTCGAGTCAAATGTAATGAAAGTCAGATGGTGTCTTAGACGGGGCAGTGATATCATAAACCTGTTAATGTACGCACTCAAACACTTGTTCTGTTACCAGCTGTATTCACCTTGCAGGTGCAGCTATGTGGCTTTGATCCTGGATAAAGTGTTTAAGTCATGGATGTTTAAAGTTTAACTTCTTCATATGTCTAATATTATAGTTGACTTTTCATTCAGGAAGTATGACGCTGCGCTGTCAGTACGCTTGTCCATGTTTGGGATTGGTCAAATGTTGCTAGCCCCGCCCCTTTTATGTGAACGCACACTCAGCCGGACAGAGACACCCTGGCTTGAGTTACCGAGTTGATAACCAGCGTCGTAGGACCGCTTAGCGAGATCTCTTTGTTAGGGTTAGTTAAGATAACTCAAGAGATATCCAGGGTCTGTTGAACTGGATTCAGAATACAGGCCACTGAGGTACTAAATGTTATATATATATTATTATTATCTTTATTATCATTATTGGTTCTGCCAGAGCTGCATCAGCGACCTGCTCAGGTACTGGGTGTCATAAAACGATATTATAAATACTATTATTATTATTATTATTATTTCATTATTACTTTTTATTGTTTTATTATGCATTTGTTTATTATTATAATGAAAGGTGTGTTCAGGGTCTTTAGTAACTCTGTGTTCTCTGCAGTCACCCTAACCCATCATGTCCAGCAGACAGAGAGCCGCTGTTCAAAGACAAGGTGAGCACTTCTATATTCTTTATTTATTATGAATTATTCTTTATTTTTATTAATTATTATAAATTAATTATTCTTTATTTATTAAGAGTTAAGGTCATTAATGGTTCAGTTTCTGACGCTCTGTTTGTCTCAGATCTTCAGAGACGTTTGCTGCCATCGGGAGATCATGGCGCTGAAGGTGTTCTGTCGCAGTGAAGCCAGCGGCTGCCCGGAGCAGCTGAGCCTGCAGCACATCCCTGTGAGAACATTATATAGAACTCTGGAACACTCCTGGTCCTTTAGCAGAACCCTGGGTTCTCCAGAGTGCTGTGGTTCATTGTTTATTAATGTGGTTCAGCGGCATTTACCGACCGCTGCAGTGCCGCTCGTCCACCGAAGTTCATTCTCCCGTTAGCTCACGGCAGAATTCAGTCTCCCGTTAACTCACACGGCAGCGGCCGCTGTAAAGTCTTCACTGTCTGACTGTCACACAAGCAGCTGATACTGTTATCCCCAATTCCCCAAAGTGAATGTGTGTCAGTAAGTGTGTGGTTGCGTTCTAGTCACTTTGCTCAGCGCTACTGCTTGTTACAACTTGTATTTGCCGTACTCGCCATTAACTGTTATTGCTCAGGTTAATCTCGCCCCCTCCGACGTAGAGTGAAGTATAGGTTCTTGGTTCTTGGTTCTTGGTTCTTGGTTCTTGGTTCTTGGTTCTTGCCGGGCAGCCGAGTGGGGTCGGCTAAGATCCGGTTCGGTGGAAAAGGGACAACAGATTGTTTGTGTTCACACCTCCAGACACCACAGCAGATTCTTCACCTGTCTCTACCTGTCTCTACCTGTCTACCTGTCTCTCACCTTTCTCCCACCTGTCTCTACCTATCTACCTGTCTCTCACCTGTCTCCCACCTGTCTCTACCTGTCTCTCACCTGTCTCTCTACCTCTCTCTACCTGTTTACCTGTCTCTCACCTGTCTCCCACCTGTCTCCCACCTGTCTCTACCTGTCTCTCACCTGTCTCTCACCTGTCTCTACCTGTCTCTCACCTGTCTCTCACCTGTCTCTACCTGTCTCTACCTTTCTCTCACCTGTCTCTACCTG